CAGACACAAGAGAGGCAAAGTAAAGCGGGTGCAACCTGCACTCCATAGGCCACAGGGGCTCAGAATTCTCTAGAGCCAGCCAAACTGACATCCTGGCCTGGCATTCTTTCCCTTCTCATTGTAAACAGTCACCACCCCAAAACTTTGCTTGTGCCCCTCCATAACCCCCTTCCCTTGGCCCTTCACAGGCAACCACTGGTTTGCTTTCTGCCACTTTGGATTAATTTTCCTTTATTTTTTGGTCTGGTGTCTTTCACTCAGCATAATTACTTTGAGATGTACCCATGTTGTTGTATATATATCAATAGTTCATTCCTTCTTATTGCTCAGTAGTATTCCATCAAATGGATAGGACATAATTTGTTTATTCATTGACCTGTTGATGGCCATTTGGGTTGTTTCCAGTTTTTGACTAGTACAAATAAAGCTGCTATGAACATTTGTATCCAAAACAAAATAAAATTAGAACCATATATTATTGCAATATTGGCCATTATAAGATATCTGAATATTTGTTTTCTAAGCACGTTTTTTAATTTGTAGGAGTACTTTGGTGTAGCACTACTAACACAGTAGCTTAAAACATGCTGGAAAAGTAGTCTAAGTTATTGCTCAATTTGTCATAAAAGTCAGTTTGTACTGGTAAGCCACGAAAGTAACTCAGGAAAGGTGTTCACTTAGAGGCAAATGTTATAGTTATCGTGAGGCCACAGTGTTGCTTTGCAAAGAAACTAGGACTCAAAATCAAGTGAACAAGTTATTTCCTTGATTCTGTGACTCATGAGACATGAACAGAATGAAGTCTTTTCCTTCTCTATATTTAACGTAATCCATGATTTCTATAGGAGGCATCACGTTGCATGGGGCCCAGAGTGTTACATCTAAACTCTTCACCACCAGTATTCCTTCCAAAGTCTTACTTTGCCAGATAGAGTCCCCACCCTCCTCCCCTGCCCCCCACTTGCACTCAGCATTTTCCCCTCTACTTTTCAGAGAAGTTCTCTTGGGCATGTGCATGCTGGTTCTCAACAAGTCTCTCAGATTCTGGAGGCTGGCTCATAACCAATCACAGACTCAAAACAGAGGATCTTTCTCTGCAAACATCATTTCACCGGCGCTGTGAGGAGCGCCACTGAGTTACCATATGTATATAGGGAGAGACAAATCCATTACTATAATTGCAGACTCCAACACCCATCTTTTAATAATGGATAGATTGAGAAAACAGAAAATCAAATGACCTGAATAGTATTATCAATCAGTGTGACCTACTAACATATATCTATTACATTAATTGAATCCATGTTTAAAAACCTTCCACAAAAAGAAAAAAACACCAGCACAGGTGTTTTCAATGGCAAATCCTATCAAGCATTTAAGGAACAAACAATACCAGTTCTCTGCAATATCTTCCACAAAATAGAAGCAGAGAGAATGCTTCATAACTTATTCTATGATACCAGAATTTCACCAATACCAAAATCAAATTAATACATTACAAGTAAAGAAAATTAAGACCAATTATCTGTTATGAGAATAGGTGCAAAACTTCAAACAAAACATTAGCTTTAAATCAATCCAACAATTTATCAAAAAAATTATACACCACAACCAAGTGGGATTTATCCCATATATTCAAGGCTGGCTTGACATTTTGAAGTCAATTAATTCATCACATCAACAAGCTAAATTTTAAAAAATTATCATATTATTATATCAATTGATGCAGAAAAGCACTTGATAAAATCCAAAACCCATTCATGATTAAAAAAAGATCCTCTTACCAAAATATTCATTAATTGTAACGAATAACCATACCCTATATATAATGAACCCATATATATAAATATATGAATATATATATGAATATATATGGTGTGGTTTTATATGTGTATATATATATATATATATATATACGATGCTGATAGTGGGGCAAATGGGTGTGAAATATATAAGAACTCTCTTTGCAAACTTTCTGTAAAGTAAACTAACTCTGAAATTAAAAGTTTCCTTTTTTAATTGTTTTTCAATTTGGCCCATTTTCTAGTGGAGAAAGGAAGCAACTTTATATACAACTATAAAGCAGGAAAGAAGGTGGAATGTGAATTGTTCTGGTGGTCTTAAATGGTAGGACGTTATTAATCTGCGGAAAATAAAGTTGAGAAGTTGTAACTTTGCATGACATTTCAAAGTACTGCTAAAGGAGGATGTAGCCTGGAAAGTCACCAGCACTGTGAAAACAGCGGCTGCCCAAGTTCTCGACTGTGTTGTCATACAGGTACCTCACTCAAAGGGTGGGTGCCAAACTGGGAGACTGTGTTTGTGCTTCTGTTGTGTGTGTGGTGTTTTTTTGTTTTGTTTTGTTTTTTTGTTTTCTTTCTAATTTAGTCTTAAAGTCTCTCTCACATGAGTGCGATAAACTCTAGCACTTCCCTGATTCAGGAATTTGGTGATAGATGTTTACAGTGTGCCTTTCATAAGATACTTCTTTATCTTTGTGGATAGGCTGATACTTAAGTGTCACCTGTGACCAGCTGTCACTTTCACAGAAACTGATTTTTACTGGCAGATGCCCTTGTGGATCATGTCTGACGTGTGTTCAGTTTATTCCTACTAAGATAGCCAATGTCTAGGAAAGCCCTGCCCAGGAGAGAAGTTATGTGCTGGTCTATGGATTAGGTGAGAAAGAGGAGGCAACTCAACACAATCCATGAAATCAAAGAAGCAGATTCTTACAGATCCCAGAGAGAAGAAGGCAGCACGCTTCACAGGGCCAGTGGGAAAAGAGGAGCCAACAGGGAAACAAACATTCAAACAGTGGATGGGGAGCAAGAGAGAGAACAAAGGACCTGTGGGCCAAAATGTTTATTGGAGTCCAGGACATTACCCAAGCAGGCTTCCTAAAGGGAGTTCTAATTGATTAGAGCCAGCAGGCATCAGCTCCGTGGAGTCACGCTGCAACTGAGACATGGTCACTGTGGCACATCTGTGAGGCCCATGCTGGGTGTAGGAGTCAGTGAGGTAAGTCAAGTAGGTTGTATCCAGCTGTCTCATAGGAAAGTGGTCACCAGGGGATGATTTACAGGGCAAATATCCAGGTCAACCACATTGAGGAACTGGGAGAAAGTGAAGAACTAGGCACCATGTCAAGCGTAACAAGGAAGTTAAACCTATATTCAAAATGGATGTTGAAGCCACATAAAATTAAAGGAATTCACTACAGTTTCCTATACTGGTCTGCACATTAAAATCACAGAAATACTGCTTAGAAATACAAATTCCTAGGTCACCTATGGTGATGTTAATTTAGTAGGTCTGCAATGGGACCCAGGAATTTTTATATTTAAATGGGTGTACATTTTAGCCCCACACCTTCCGTTTAGATGATTGCAACCACAATTCTTTCAAGCAAATTATTCAGCTGCTTGGAATCCACATCCGCATCCTTTTCTCCTGACTGAAACAGAGGAAAGGATTTTTCCCTAGCCCATCCTAGGAACATATAACTCACTCGCCACTCCCTATTACAAACAATACCCCTGCTCTATGGTTTGTATGGAATGTGACTTCAGGTAGTGACCTCATTTGAATGGTTTCCGTTATACCTGCACGGCCACCTATGTGTCCCTTTCAATGTTGTTTTTGTGTTTTCCGCATATCAATGCGTATGTTTCCAAGTACACGCCTGAGAGCTAAGAGAAGTCTTTAACCTGGATGCTAGCTAGTTTGAACTGATGAAGCAGTGAGAGGTGTCGCATGGTACAGCTTGCATTAAACCGGTTTGCACTTCAACTTCAGTGGGTATGTAAACCCCCAGGGCCTTGTTAACTGCAGATGCTCATTCAGTAGATATAGGATGGGATGGAGAGTCTGTTCTCAGGTGAGGTGGAGGCTCCTTGTCTGGAATGCAAGGCTTCACTCCCTCTAGAAGAGGTGTGTACTCTTGGTCTCTGAGGCAAGCCATTACTCTCCCCAGGTGACTGGGTGCCCTTGGCTCTGATGTAGACCATTGCCCTCTCTAGGTGACAGTGGTACCCTTGCTGTCTGATATAAGGCATCACCCTCTCCGGAAAGTAAATCTCCAGTGGCTGGGAGGCAGCTACATTATTGATCTTCACCAAACTCTCTACTAGATGGAGACTTGAGTGGAGAGTGTTGTGCCTTGTGGTGTATGTTGAGTAAGGCTTACCTTACAACTCAGCAATGGTGAAAGGGAGGAACGGTATCCCAGGACACCAGTGGCAACTCATATTTTCTCTTGAGAATTTGGTTGGATGGGCAGACGTCCACAGTAAGGGGCCCTTCTTCAACAGCTTCCGGGTACCAAGAGGCATCTCTCTCCCCTGTCCATGGTTTGAGAAACTCAGGAGGTGCTGCATTCCCTGCACGTTACTGGGCTGTTGCTATTGTTTACCTGGTCCCTGCAGGCATGCTATTTAAAAAATACCAGTACTCTGATTTGCACAGATTTGCACAGTACTCTGATTTTTCACTTATCTTTGGAATGTTCGTCAATACTAGTTTGTGCCCAGTACTGCAGTTTGTGCTCTACATACAGCAATGAAGAAAACAACCTCTGTCCTCACATAGCTTTCACAGCCGTTCAGGAGATAAGCATGTCAATCAATAATCACAGAGCTGATCTATATGGATGTGATGGTAGATGACTTCACTACACAGATACTTTTAATCACCTACTATGTGCCCAGCACTACTCTGGATACTTGTAATTCATCAATAAACCAATAACAACAAAAACAAGGATTTCTTGGCCAAGCACGGTGACTCACACCTATAATCTCAGCACTTTGGAAGGCTAAGGTGGGTGGATCACTTCAGTTCAGGAGTTTGAGACCAGCCTGGCCAATATGACGAAACCCCATCTCTACTAAAAATACAAAAATTAACCAGGCATGTTGGCACATGCCTGTAATCCCAGCTACTCGGGAGGCTGAGGTGTGAGAATTGCATGAACCCAGGAGATGGAGGCTGCGGTAAGCTGAGATTGTGCCACTACACCCCAGCCTGGGCAACAGAGTGAGACTCCATCTCAAAAGAAAAAAAAAAAAAAAGATTTATTCTTAAAACTTATGTTCTGAGAGGGGGGTGATACAAAATAAGTAAAACAATTAAATGTCATAATATGCTGCATATTAATAGAGTCTACGGAAAATCAGAGCAAACTAAGTGGACTTGGTGCAGAAGTACGTAGGAAGAAGAGGATTGAATGCTTTCTGACAGACTGACAGGAATGACTTTCTGGATGAGGTGATGTCTGAGGTGGGAATTCAAGAGGTTGGATATTTTCAAATGGCACTAGTTAGTTAGGTTTGCCCTTATTCCCAATAAAATATTCCTATTTATCAAAATTCTTTCTTCATTTAAGAGGAAAAGGCAAACGGTCACTCATTGAATCTTTGTGAAATCCAAAATAGACCTATTCCACAATGAATATACACCGATTAAAAGTTAAGTAACAACAATGCCTCAGCTGGGGAGCAGTGTTGGCTGTGACTATCAGGCACGGGGCATGGGGCATGGCCAGCAGGGCAGAGTGTCTTTCTCCCCTTCACCTCCCTCTGATAGGGGAGGAAGGCAGGGGCAGCTCTCGGTGAAGGTCAGCCCAGCACGGAGAAAAGCATGTCAGTTCCATGCTGAAGATGCCCAGGATAGGCAACCCGGTGAGGCTGAAGACAACAGCCACAGCAGAGAGTCCTCCAAGTTCAGCTCCATCATGCCAAAACAATCACGCAAACAGAAAAACACATCTGACCATGTCAGGGTGTGTGGCAACAAGTAGACTAAACATTGTGATGATTTTTAAATTTCCTCTTTTCCTCCAGATGTTTTCTTGATCAAACTGGAGTACATTCATTTGCTCATAAGTACATGTTTGTGTTTTAGCAAGTACCTGCATCTTGTTTAGCATCACATGGATGTATACATGCCTACATATAGTCGTACCCTAAAAGCACCAAAAGATGATCATTGCTCAAACAGCAGGACATGCTATGAGACTCTTGTCAATGACAGACAGGTCCGCCTGACCCCCAAGCCCTATATTCCTTCACTCAGCACAAAAGGGGCCTGGACTGCAAGCATCGAGCTCAGAGGTTAAGGTAGTTTTATTTAAGCGCCCAGGGATTGCATCTATTGTGAAGCCTAATGATGGAACAGCTCATGAGTGTAAAACATAGACAGCAATGGGAGAAAGCTCTGGTCCTGACACTGGAGAAGCTCCCAATTTCAGACTAGTGAGAAGAGCACTCTAAATAAATAAATACAAGGCATGGTAATGTGTGCTGCAACACAGGAACACCCCAGGAGGAGGAAGTGAGGACCCTGCTGGGAAGAATTAGCTACAATTTTGGCAGAAAAGAGAATTACAAAAGCTATGTAGAAATGTCCACCATATAATTTAGATGAAAACAGGTTACAAACTGGTGTGTGCTTCTCCTTCTCAATTGTGTGAAATATATGGTTATCTGAGAAAGATGATAATAATAGTTGTTTTAAGATAAGGAATTTCTGGGATGAGTTTAACTTTAATATTAATAATGACTAACAAAAATATCAAAAGCACAAAAATACAAATTGAAATATATTAAGTTAGATGTAAGGAAATTAAGATGGAATTTGATACTTTTCTCACTATAAAAAAGTCACTCGTCTTACTCAGAGACTACAGAATGCTTCTTTAGAGACTTTTCAAAATGACTTCTTCTTACCTGAGTTAATTTTGGTGTCTTTCCGTCCAGAGTTAAAACATAACTAGAGGCTATTTCCAGATCACTCTCTAATCTGTGATTTCCTTAGAGGCTTTCAGCCAGTTCTCTCAGTTTGCAGTTTGCAGAGATTAGCAGAGCCAAGGAAGTAGAAACAAGCCAGCTTCCTCAGTGTGGACCACTGTGTCCTCACACCTCCTTAGATTAAGGTAATAAAAAGCCAGCACCACCCTTGTACCCAGGTCTGACAATACACAAAATAGCTAGGTGTACAGGCAACCTGGAAATCAAGAGACCTAGATGTGCATTTTGAGCAACATCATGTCACCTCAGACTTGTACCCGGGTCTGAGGATTCACAAAATAGCTAGACGTACAGTCAGCCTAGAAATCAAGAGACTTAGATGTACATTTTGAGCAACATCATGTCACCATACCAAGTGAAGTGAGGATAAAACTATATTCACACAACTCCTCTGAGAACAGTTTTGTAAACTGTGATGTGAAACATAAATGTCACTGTGGGTGTTTCCTGAAGTCCTTCACATTTATTGGGGTGGATGATATAAAAACCACTGTTTTAAGTAAGTAGCATCTGGGACTCAGTCTGGTGGGCAAACAGATGTGAACACGAATGATTCCAATCAGAGTTCCACCACAAAGTTTAAGAAGGTGTGGGAATAGCATCTGGAGGGATAGGATGGCAACAGTGGTAGTAGATGATGGACAAGCACTTTCTGGAACTGAGAAACATAAAAGCTCTCAGAAATGGGAAAGTTAAAGGTGTGATTCAAGAAATGGCATACCTTGGTATTGGACCTAAAATATGCAGCAGGTTCAGTGGAGTGAAGAGTGGACAAAGGAAGGAGATCAGGCTGAGTAGAGCTGAGGAAATAGTCTGGATTTTATTCTGAAACAATGGGGAGCCACTGAAGTCTTTCCAGGCAGGGCCTGGCACATTCTGGCAGGGGAAAGGCCATGATGAGGTAGTCAAGAAAAGCAGAGTGGGAGTGGCAGTCCAAAGGAAAGTCACGATGTGCCAGGCATTACCTTCCCGAGTGACTCTTCTAGGCCATTTTACTTGCATCCAAAGAGCCATTCTGCATTCATGTTGACATTCTAACTGAAGTTTTGACAGTCCTATGTTCAATGCAATTAACAAAATCATATTTCCCCTGACCCTACACTCCTGCTATTTCGGGAACAGATTCTACAATTGACCCAAATTATAGTAGAAATGTTTTGTTGTTGTTGTCGTTTGTTTTTTGTTTTTGTTTGTTTTTGTTTTTGCTTTGCCTATTGTTATAGTTTGGATCTGTGCCCCAACCAAATTTCATGTTGAATTGAAATCCCCAATGTTGGAAGTGGGGCCTGGTAGGAGGTGATTGGATCCTGGGGGCAGATTTCTCAAGAATGGATTATTACCATCACCTTTGGTATGGTCCTCATGATAGTGAGTGAGATCTGGTAGTTTGAAAGTGTGTGGCGCCTTGCCCATCTCTCTTGTGCTCCTGCTTTCACCATGTGATATGCTTTCTCCTGCTTTGCCTTTGCTTTACCTTCCATGGTAATTGTAAGCTCCCTGAGGCCTCCCCAGCAGCAGATGTTGGCATTATGCTTCCTATACAGCCTGAAGAATCATAAGCCAATTAAACCTCTCTTCTTATCGATGATTTAGTCTCAGATATTTCTCCAGAGCAAAGCAAGAACAGCCTAATACAACTATGTTCCACAGGATAAATTAAACTATCAGATCCCCTGATCCAAAATCTGGTTTGGTGCAAGCCTTCTTTAAATTAAAAGAAATTGTGTTATCAAAACACTAAATCTACTCACAGTGATCTTTCGAGGAGCAGTAGCACCAGATCCTCAGGGAAGCTCCAAGTCCAGAGGTGGTCAATACTCCTCAGACCCCTGAATGCCAGGTCATGCTTTCCTAGCCTAAACAGGCCACTGCATAGGAACACAGAATCATCACAGAAGGGACCCTTGGAGAATTAAAAGGTGTTATTTTTTTAAAGCAGTATTTTTAATAGCACAACCTTCTAGTTGATAATGTGTTATTAAAGGAAGAAAACAAACCCTTCACTCAGATTCCCATCTGAGATGTAAACAGGAAAAGGTGCTCAGACACAAAGCCTCCCAGGCTCTATGAAGGTGGTTCTGGCTGACCACATATTTCCCAAAATGTGCACCTGTCTCTGTGGCTGAAGCCATCACAACCTAACTGACCCTCTCCGTACAGCCACATGAAACCAACTCAAGAGCCAGGACATCTAACTTTTGGACTAAAAATATAACCAGAGAAAGCTAGGCACTACATGCTCTGTCTTCTCTGTTTTTATTTTCGTTAAGATATTACTTTTTATAACCACAGTAACCAACATCTTGATAAGATTCCAATCATAGTACCAGAGTTTATGTTTAGCCCCTGAGTGCATGGAATTAAAGGGAAGCATGGAAACAGTCTCACTGAGGACAGCAGGAGTAACTAAGGCTGGGAGAGTAGAAAGAAATCCACAGTTCACAGTGGGAGGGAAGTCTGGGCCAAGACACACCAGCTCTTCTCCCTCAGTAAAGTTTTCTATGAAAATTAATGGATTCTGTAATCCAATATGGGGAGACACAGGCCACATGAATCACACTGTGCAGTATTAGATTTAATCACACAGATCTTTACTACTGCTTAACTCTGGGTCAGGTACTGTGCTGGGCACATGCCAGGGAAGATGATACACAAATGAATGGTGCCTCATTGGCTTCATTTAAGCACATGCACATACACAAACGTGCACACATACACAAACGTGCACACATACACATGTACACACACAAAAGTACACACACACGCACACATGCACACTCACATGCACACATATGCACATATACACACACATATGCACATACAAATGTGTATGCACAGCCATACCATCCATGGCACAAGATAATAAGCTTTCCTCACCATCCTCATACCCCAGGCCTGTGTTTACATTCCACATGTGGATTTTGATGAAGATGAGATGGGTGGCCAGACATGGGAGAGTGAAGTGACTTCAGGAAGGGGCAGAGGGAAGCTTCCGCTGCACCATGAGAAATGCGAGGGTGTCTGTAGGCAGATGTCTGACAGTGCCGTCCAGGTGGAGGAAGACAGTCCAAATGTTCTGGAAACATGGGCACCCACCCCACGGTGGGACAGCACCTAGTGCATGAGGGCGAGGGATGCAGCCTGGGAGAAAATGTGCAGGTCAGTGTCCCACTGACCCATCCTAGCACCTTCTCTTCAGAGGACATGGCAGGAAACCTGTTGCCTGTGTCCAACCCTGGCCAGGCTGCAGACAGCAGGTTTTGTTTTGCTGCAGGGCAGAAATCAGATGTAATAAATTCAGAGAGCAGGTGAGGGGATGAAAGATTCCAAGTTGATAAATGACGAATTTTCAACAACTAGAACAGTTCTGGAATGAAACGGACTTCTCTCCAAAATAAAGAAGTGCCTGCCCACTCCACAGCAATTCCCAACACCAGCCAATGGCCGCCTCTGGGAAGAGATTCAAGCACTAAACTGAGGGCAGCTCACCTGCTGCCAGGTGTGTCCCTTCACCTCTTCTAATCCTCAACTCCTGGGCACTCACCCAGCTCACCAAGTGCTGCAACAAGACTGTGAGCAGAGAACCAGGGGAAGTTCCAGCAGGACAGGTCTTGGGAGTGCATCTCATTGATATGTTCCATTTTACAGATGGGAACATTGTAGATGGAAAGGGAGGTAGTGTTGACAAAAGCCTCAGAGTGAATACTTTGTATTGATTTATATTTGTAAACATGTATGTGCAGTATAATATCCACTCAAAAAGTGCACAGCTTATAAGTGAGCAGCTCTCCACAGACAGATTAGGACATAGAACGTTAGCATTACCTCCACCCCTTACAGACTCCTCAGAAGCCAACACTTTTCACAGTCACTGACTTTTTGACACAGTCATTTCTGACTTTTTGAGCCTTGAATAAATAGAATCATACAGCTTGGTTCTGTCACTGAACATTATATTTGTGATAATCATACAAGTTATCACGTGAAGCAGAGGTTTATTATTTTCCATTGAATGAATATAACAAAATATATTCATCCATTAAATGTTGACAGATATTGTTTCCTTTGCAGCTGAGAGCTAGTGTACCATAGCTGGTCTTGTAATGTCTTTTGGTGAATACAGATTTGCAAACCTGCTGATTACACATGTGAATTAAAATAACTGACTCAGAGGGTGTGCACGCATTCCTCTTTATCAGAGACTGCCAAAGCATTTTTCAAAGTGGGGGTACCAATTTGCACATCTCCCAGGAGAGCTGTGCTGCATCCTACATGGAATAGACACAAGGAGGCCAGGCTGCTAATTTTGGGTCTGCTATGAGTCATCGTGATCCTGGGAAAAACAATTCATTTCTGGGGACCTCTGTTTTTCCCTCACATGAGTGCTAAGGTATCTTCTACCCTTAATTTTTCTCTCATTCTAGAATATATACTGAAGATATGCTTTTATGTCTATTCACGGAAATACGCATATATTTATGTATTTATGTATATATATGTATGTATTTATGTATGTATATAAGATGTATATAATGAAGAAAACACGTTAAAAAGCACTGAATTTGACAGATTACAAACGTACTTTTATGCTGATATTATATACATCGGGATTTGCCTTATAATACAAGGTTTCCTCTTCATTTAAACAACTCTGAAAATAATGATCGAATTAACAAGCCAACAATATTATCTGCAATGAATAGAAAAAAACTGACAGGTACAAAAAGAACAAAAGAGGCTGGGCACGGTGGCTTACACCTGTAATCCCAGCACTTTGGGAGGCCGAGGCAGGTGGATCATGAGGTCAGGAGATGGAGACCATCCTGGCCAACATGGTGAAATCCCGTCTCTACTAAAAAAAATACAAAAAATTAGCTGGGCGTAGTGATGGGCGCCTGTAGTCCCAGCTACTCAGGAGGCTGAGGCAGGAGAATGACATGAACCCGGGAGGCGGAGCTTGCAGTGAGCCGAGATTGCACCACTGCACTCCAGCCTTGGCGACAGAGCAAGACTCTGTCTCAAAAAAACAAACAAACAAACAAAAAGAAAAAGTAAAAATCAAAGGAAAATGCCTAATTCTGCCTAAGTACTTGAAATGTTGGCAATAAACACATGAAACATTACTTATTTATATCTCTTAGGCAGAGGATTGTTTTGTCTTTGGGTTAGAAGTCCAATTTCTGCATGACAGGAATGCCAAAAGCTGTTCCAAAATGGTCAACTGGGCCCTCAAGTATCTGTCATCTGGTTCTGTCTTGTGGGGAAAAAAGTGAGAGCTTTTCACATCCCGATCCTAAAAGGGAAGAATGAAGGAATACCCAGATATTATTGGTAGCAGGGAACAGACTTTTCCAAGCCATCTCCCTGGATTTTATTCTTGTCAGTGGGAGGGGAGGTAGACAACTTCATACAGAACCTTCCCCTGGAATTGAATCTTCAGGGAGTGTAGGGTTGGTACAAACATAACGAGGCTAATAAACACTACAGCCAGAGCGTGGTGAGCTAGATGTACATGGATGCTGCAACAACTCACCTGCTGTAGAAGACAAGGGGGACCTGAGAGGGAGAGTCTTCTCCAGGTTGTAGAACAGACCTGTGCAAATCACAGGAGAACTTTGACAGAATTCTGGGAGTTATTCATCACTCTTTTGAGCATGTTACCTGTGTTCCACTCTGTGTGTTTTCCCACGATGCTTTCTACTGAAAAGGTCAAGAATTCCTGGCAAGATAGAAGTAGTAACATGTGTTTCTCTACTTACCCTCTTCTGAGACTGACATTGAGATGAACAACAGAATACACAATATAGAAAATCTTAAAACAATGCTTGGAACAAGCCTCTTACACGCCAGGAACAGTAAAGAATCCCTGCCAGATAAAGTGCATGTGGACCCAATTTGAAGAACTTCAAAGAGGGTGAGAATGAAGCTTTAGACTATTAATAAATTAGGCTATTCATGAAGGTATTGGAGGATGAGGCAGGAGAGGGGGCCAACAAGCATACCTTCTTATATCTATGACCTAGGAAGAATTGGATCCTACTGAGGCACTGGGAAATTTTAGCATCCTGGCTCAATTTTTCCTGCCCCATCAGGCAGAGGGAAGGCACAGATAGGCTCTGAGTGGACACCTTCACCAGTCCAAAAATAGGGCTGGCCCACCTCTCAGCTCCCATGGGGCTATAACCCAGTACTAAATAAACCCAGAGCCTTTCCTGTAATGATGAAAAATTATGAAAAAAAGATACTGCAGTTGAAAGAAGAATGTCACTCTTTTGAATCTACGGAAAAGCAACCTGCTGAAAACACTTTCCCCAGCAGAGAGTTTCTGATTCTGTTCGGCAATCACCAGGAGCAGCATATACCCATGGTGGCCCACTGGTTTCAGGAATAGGATGAGAGACACGTGCAGCAGAGCCAGTCCAAGCTGAACTTAGCCTAGCTCAGCCAACCCTCGGTTGATTGCCAGAGCTATGGGTGAGCCCAGCCAAGACAAATTTAGAAGAACTGAAGCCCCCAGATGCACAAGAAACAAATTGTTCTTGTTAAAAGCCACAGATTCTTCCTGCTTTATTAACCAGAGAAAGCCAACTGATATATTAGACCAAAGTGTTTCAGTTTCTGCATTATTGGAATTTTAGATTGGACAATTTTAACTTAACAGCAATGTTAGCCCACAGAATCTAATTGATATTTATAGAACACTACACCCAACAAATGGTAGAATATGCATCCTTTTTAAGCACCCGTGGAACATTCACCAAGATGGCATGCAGGAGATCTTCGTGGTGATGGGACAGTTCTGTACCTTGATGGTAGCGGTGGTTACATAAATCTACATGTGTGATGAAACTTTATAGAACTATCAGTGCATACAGACATGAGTGCACACAAAACTGGTGAAATCTGAAAAACTCTATGGATTGCTCCAATGTCATCTACTGGTTTTGATAGTGTAATCTAGTTATGTAAGATGTCATCAATGGGGGGAACTGGGTGAAGGGTACCTGTGATCCCTTTGTACTATCTTGGCCGCTTTCCATGAAGTTAGTGATATGGTTTGGCTGTGTCCCCACTCAAATCTCATCTTGAATTGTAGCTCCCACAATTCCCACATGTGGGTGGTAATTGAATTATGGAGGCTGGTCTTTCATGTGCTGTTCTCGTTATAGTGAATACATCTCATGAGATCTGATGGATTTATAAAGGGGAGTTCCCCTGCACATGCTTTCTTGACTGCTGCCATGTAAAATGTGACTTTGCTCCTCCTTCACCTCCACCGTGATCTGAGGCCTCCCCAGCCATGTGGAACTGTGAATCAATTAAACCTCTTTTCTTTATAAATTACCCAGTCTCAGGTAAGTCTTTATTAGAAGCATGAGAATGGACATATATAGTAAATCTGCAATCATTTATTTTAAAAAAGTAGAACAAACAAACCCCTAAAAACAATGCATGCTTATAGCTCATATCCTCCTACCCAACTTCATCAATTTACAAAATAAAAAACCAGCCAAACAAATGTAATTTTGATCTTGCTCTTTAAAAATTGAGGGTTTTTTTAATCTGAATATAATCCCACCTTTATTTAAAAAGCACTTGGAAGAGCATCTGTGATTCTACCCCTTCTCTTCTTAAATGGTTGATTATAATTAAGTGAATACTACCTGGCAACAAAGTAATCTTAAACAGAAGCAAAAATTTGGTCTTTAAAATTGCAAGGCTATACTGAATATAGATATTTTATCTGTATAATCCAGAATATCTTTCTGTGTTATCAAAATGAGGAAATATTACCTAAGTAAACAGCACATATAAAATCCATTTAACTGACCAAGTAGGTTATGCATCTAATAATCTAGTTGTAAATTCTCTCTTGATTTAGCTGGGCATAACTGTAGGGCAATATAGAGGCAGACAGATGTGATAGAAAGAACGTGAAGTCAAGAGATATGGGATACACTGAATTCTAGTTCCTAGCCATGTTTCCCTGTGTGGCCTGGGCAATGACTGGGCATGGGACCTCTTATTTTCTTAACTAAAATTAAATAGAGTACATAGATTGAATGGAACTGACTTCATTAAGTTCTTCTAGAAATTAAAGGCACAACATACTTTAGAATTGTGCCTATCACAAAAATGGGTGCTTTCTAATAAAAAACTTTCCCCTTCTAATTTAGAATTAAATTGCTTTATAAAACCTTGTAAGAGTATAGGGTATTATATTTCTCAATACTTTATAAATAGATTAAGTATTGTTGTAATGTACCATTGTGTTTCCTTTTTGAGAATATCTGTTATAAAATGTACACAAATGATCAAATATAATAAATATATATGCATAGAGTAGTTACACTGTACCTTGAAGATATAAGGATGTTTAAAAATAATGATAATTAATTTTGTATTTTATAAGAGTAAACTTGTTTACTTTTATTTTAAAAAGTGAAATGTATGGGTGGGAAAGGCCATAATACAATTTACAAAACAAGGGCTTGACACTCACATGAGTAACATTCTTAAATGTCACCATAGAAACTGATGCCGGATTCCGGAAAATCAGAAAGGACTTAGAACCGTCATCATGTGTTTACTACTTTAAAACTTTCATCCCGGTTTTGGCTTGAGTCATGGGGTGTGGGAGGCATGCATTTTTATGAGAACAAAGACTGCTTGGTTTTAGGAGATACCCGGTGTTTTTAAAGTCTGGTTTCCAGCTACAGTGACTGGTTTTCAAAGAACCGTACCCCAAAACATGCCAATTTAGCATAAGGATGGTTTTGAGCTGAAGGCAATTGAGAAACAGCAGCCTGCAGATAAAGTTCTCTATTCTCCCCCATTTGCCTAAAAGCAGAATATAGATGTCCTTCTGCAAAGGTATCCTCTCCTCTGTCTCATACCAGGAGGGACAGAATGACTCTTAATCACCAGAGATGACTTTAGACTCTCAGCAGCTCAGAGATGGCTCAGAGCAGAATGTACATAACAAACTTCCCTAAAGTAACACGTATTCTCCATTAGTTCCCCCATATATTTACCTTCCCATAATCTACCACTCCTAGAGGCTCAAAACGCTCTCCTTTGTCTTGTAGTTCCTCCACCTATTATCTTGTAGTTCCTCCCCCTTTTGTTAAAATGGTATATAAGATTCCAGATCTGACCGCCTCTGTGTGGCTTACATTTTGTTTCTGTGAGCACCCCCGCCCCATATGCATAAGAAACAAATCTTTTTATCCTGATAATCTGTTTTTGGATTAGTGAATTTGTTTCTTTGATTGTGACCCTCATAAATATGGTTTTAAGTGTGCATTGGCTATCGATTCTTTTCCCTTTTAGGAGTATCCATTATTTTCCTCTGTCTCTGTCTTTCATGTCATTTATCATAAGGAGGAGAATCATAGGACAAAATCCTCCTTTTGTCTTATTTTGTACTTTCAGTGTTTGGCCTGCATCCAGGAACAGTGCTTTCTCTCTGGTTTTTCAGCCTGGAAGGGGTTACGGGTGTCAGGCCTGTGTCTGCAGGTAGCCAGGCACCAGACTGGGGAACTAAGACACTCATTTGCCAATCATGTTGGATCTTGAGGGAATTTGTCTAAATAAAATGTTTCAGCCCATAGGATCCCTTATTATCTCTCCCTTCATTGCCTTGTAGTACTTAGAAAGTTTTCAGTATTGCCTACCTAGTATCACAGATTATTAGATATGTAATTGGAGGCATCTGACTTTTGTGGGAGACCAAAGACGCAAGTTTTCAAAAATAGCATTCTTACTGCCTGTCGCAATGAGAATCTTTGCTTTCTTTGACTACGTTTGGGAGTAACTTTGGGTCATATGGGCTATGTCTTTTGCACCCTGTTTGGACATGCCTCTTATGTCCATGGTTAAGTCATAAAAGGCATATTGGATTTAAGTCATAAAAAGGTTTATTGGGATTTCTCAAGTACTTAAAACAGAGCTACCATCTGATCCAGCAATCCCATGACTGGGTACATATCCAAAAGAAAATAAATTGTTCTACCAGGAGGATACATGTGTGTGTATGTTCACTGCAGTACTATTCACAATAGTAAATACATGCAATCAATGTAGATGCACATCCACAGTGGATTGGATAAAGAAAATGTGATACATATAAACCATGGAATACTACACAGCCATAAAATGAATTATGTCCTTTGCAGCAACATGAATGCATCTGAAGGCCATGATCCTAAGTGAACTAATACAGGAATAGAAAGTCTCATTTTTGTTCTCACTTATAGGTGAGAGCTAAACATTATGTACTCATGGACATAAAGATGACAAAGTTAAAATTATTTTTAAAAGAAGATAATCTGAATACAATATAGTACCACTACTAAAAAAATATTTTTTTGATGAAAAAACTCATTGGTTTAAGTTGCACTAGAATAAGTATACCTTTGAAGATTTAGACTTGTATATCTAAAGGGGTTTCTGAAGAGCTCTCACCTAGAGCAAATGCACCGCTCTAGGCATTGTACTTGTGACAGGATCAAATTAAAAGTAAAAAAAAGACAGGATAATGTTATGACTGGCTCGAAAAATCTTTTGACAAGATTGGTAGATTGAAGTCAGACTTGGAACAAAATTAAGAATTGAAAAGGCACTCGGGTCAGTGCAGAGCATACAACTTACCTATGTAAATACTGATAACCAGAAAACAGCTTTGCCAAAGGCCCGAAGAATGGCAGCAAAACTCTCTAATCAAACTCCAGCAGCGCAGGGTCTTCCCATGCAAAGTCCTTTGTGCTAAAAGCTCATTACCAAGAATTCACTGGACTGCCCTGTACATAAGAAAGAAAAAAAAACTAAGTAGTAATTATGCTACACCTCTGATAATAGGCAAATATGCCCCAAAATTCCTTTGTAGAGAAAGCTTACATGCTTTTTTTCTCTCCTTTGACCACAGCCTCCATGAGATTATATAACAGGGCAAATGAAAATCTTAAAAACCTTCTCTACAAAGAGTAGTGAAAGGTTTTAGCCCTCACTAAGAAGGTAACCTTAACTTGTTCCATCTGCCCGAAACATAATTCAGATCCCATTATTTAAAATAATTATTAAATAGTAAATTTTGTATTACTATGTTTGCCTGACTCATGACTAAATTTTTAGAATGTAAGATATGATATCTCTTTGCATCTATCTGTATTTTTATGTATGCCTATGTGTGCATGTTCTGTATATGTGGTATTTTCTACCTCCAGATGGTATTGTCAAATAAAAATTCCTTTCTACTTTAATTGGTGTAAAAAAACATATGCACTTATATAAATTAAAGTATTCCCAAAACTTAGAAATAGGTAAACTAACCCAAATAATATTCAAGTTCACATGATCTGGAATAATCTTTGGTAAATGTGACTAACGTGTCTATGTCATATTTAATGCTGGCAACTCTGAAAATATACTGTTTTTAGTAAGCCAACAAGATTTATTCTACCTGGATGTACTAGTCAAATACATATTTCTTAACTTGAAGATTATATACTTAAAATTATAAACCTAAAAACAAAATACACAATAAAAATATAATGCATTATACATATATATATGTGTCAAAGATGGCAGCAAAAAGGGTGGTGCATATATTTAACTTTTGGTTCTTTGTGCTGTGATTTATGCCTCTTTATTACATATGAGTGCTATTAAAATAGTTAACCAGGAAATAACTTTAGAAGAAGGTTATCTTTATAAAATGTCTCATGAAATTTTAATGAGCAATTCAAGCATAATTAGGAACAAGCGAATTAAATAGCTGTGAGTGGGAAACAAGTTTATAAATAAAATTTACAACAATAATTATGTTTTATAATAGGTCTGCTTAAAAATACTTTTAGAAATTTTTTGATAACTTGAAACTTTAAAGTTATACTAAGTTACATTAAATGATAGTCATTGAATATCTAGATCATTCCTAAAGAAGTTAAAATACTGAAGCATTCATTGCTGAACGTAAGTTTTGTCGAATTTTGGCCTCTTATTTTTACAAAGAGACTAAAGATACTTTCATCTGTTAATAAACATGTTCTTTTTGCAATCTGGAGCAACTGTACGATAAGAAAGCATATGCCTCTACAAAACTGTAAAGTGGTATGTTCATAAATTTGGTAATATACTACAAAATGTTAATATATGACAGTTCACAACTGCTAACTTCATTTTCACTGGAAACTATTACTAAGGGTTAGGAATTATAATCAATTTACGTAAATTAACTACCAGGAATAATAAAGGTAAAAAAGAAAGAGTTATATGCACAAAGTATGCAGGGAAACTTCATAAGAAAATGTAAAAGATATGAAGCATGTGTTTCTGTGAAGGGAATGTGTTTTCCTAAAGTAGTATAATGTATATAGGTTGTTTCAGATTGAAAGAGGAGAAATTAAATGATGAAAGTCTGAAAGAATATAGAAAGTGTTAAAGTGCCTGGGGAAAACAGAACAAGAAAGAGAACCTTGTCTCATATCTCATATGGTCAAGAAAGCTAAAATTAAATTAAATTTATTATAAGATGTTTGAATGGGTTTTAATATAAATAGTGTACAAATGAAAAACTAGAGTTTGATTTTTTTTCTGCTAAAAATGTAAAGTTTTCTTAGATTACTGGTCTATTCTTAATAAGGGATTGTAAAGGCTTTTCTTTACTTGAGTAATTTACTTAGGAAATAAGAATTCTGTGTCTTATTAAAATAATTTTCTTTACTTTGTGTTCCTTTTTTCAGGTCTTTGATTATTTAAGAAAACCAAGCCCTCTCAATATTGAAAGAGGTAAGGAGTTTGTTTAATAATCATGTAACCTGTATTTGCCCTGGAGAGCTTCTATTGTCTCTGACAGAACAGATAACTAAGTATTGTTTCATGCTGATCTCTGATCCTATTGAATCAAGCGTTCAACATTTTGATATTTTGACATCTTTCCCAAAATCAAATGCTAAGTAAAACCTTTTTTTTTTTTTAACTTCAAGCTGACTTTGGAATTTCCCAGAGGACTTCCGCAAAACTCAAGGGATTTATTCTCTCACTTTACAAAAAGGGAGGTGTTAAACTAATTAGGCTTATTTGATACTTTAAACTATCTAAGAGGCATTGTCAAATAAGAAATAATTATGAAGTGATGTTTAGCCTTCTTGTGTTGTATTTGTGTAAGTATATTAATATTAGTGTTTCAGACATTCTATGAAATTTCTAGAAATTTTTCATTGTCTTTGCTGACCATAATATATCCTGGTACAACATTATCAGTCATAATTTAAGTTACCTTAAAATGTTGCACGCCACAGAAATAATCAAATTCCTTTGCCAAGTATGTTAAAACAAACATTCATCAAATATTTAACAGGTATTTTTCAGTCTTTTGTCATTCACAGACAGTTGTTTCTTACTCTGATGCTTTATGGAAACGTACTGCCATCAGCTACAGGTCAAGGCAAGATGCTTCATTTGGAAAAAAAAAAAAAGAGAAAGAAAAGAAAGAAACAAAGAAGGATTTACATCACTCCATGAAGAAGCTAATAGATTAATGAAACCACTAACTCCAGATCAATCAGAGTAAGAATTAATTACATGGGACTGAATTAACTGAAGTGAATGATTATCATGGCTTTTTGTCTAAAACCCTGGTTATTCTTTTAACATTTTGTTTTCCATATTTGAGAAACCTCCTTTTCTCTTTTCTCTTAAGCTATCTATGACTTACAGTCATTTAATAGGTTACACTTTCATAAACAGTAATGAACCTTTTTTTACTATTACCATTATTTATTTTGTTGTTGTTGGAAACCCACCACAGACTAATTTAAGTAATGAACCATTTATCTTTTTCTTCCTACTGATGAATCTATTCTCCTTATAAAAGGAAACAGATGTAAAACGACACATTGATTATATTACCTAGGCTTTGAGTGAAATATTTGAAACTGATGTACATAGAATTATATATGGCTTGATAGTTTTAAGGGCCTGTGTTTAACTTTATACTTACAAAACCCTCTTGAGATACTGGCCGGCTACCTGGCCTACAGGTTCCCAGATTTACAGATGAGTAAAGAAAGTCACTTCCTGACAGTTCCAGGAATTTTAGAATACTTTAGGAATTTTGAGAAGAGGAAAATTCACCCAAATCTATAAATATTGCAGGAAAAATCTGATGATGAGTTCTTGGCTTGGCTTCCTAGTCTTAAGAAGTTGTTAAAAGTCCAATCTGAGAGTCACTAAAAGTTCCATAAACGCAAACTTTAAAAAGAGCCTATATGGTCCATTACCATTCTTGTTGCACTTATGTAAATAGTCAGGCCACGTTTAATGAGACTAGACTTATTTTGCAAACAAAAATAGTCTTATTTTGATTCTTTTTGACAGGAATGCAGATGACTGCAGAGAGAAATTTGTATTTAAATGAAAAACTATTATCCACCCTTGTAAGTGTTCACTGTCTTTGAACTATTTTTAACTCTGTAAACTGAATCTTGCCTTTCTGTGCATTTTGTCAGTAATTAACATTTCTAATTTTTCTATCATCTTCCTCACTTGGCACCACTGAGAACTAAAACCTGACTGCCCTGATCTTTATTGAGACTATGTGAAGAAGCCCTGCAAGCTGAAGCTAGATGCTTTAGTGATATTCTATGACTGGAACACTAATGTATATACTATTTCAAGTCATTTAAACTGCAAATCAGGAAATGTGCACTGCCTCCCTCCCTCCACATCTACATATGCTTCAAACCTGACATCTAGAAATCTCTAAGGACTGCCTTCTGGACTGAAAAACAACACCTTCTCTCATTTGCCTAAAGTCAGTACATACATTTCCCTTTGTGAAGGTACCCTTCTCCCCTGGAAGGACAGAATGACTCTTGATGAGAGATAACTCTAGGCTCTTGTCAGTACAGCAACAACACCAAGAGGAGTCTACATAACAAATCTTATAAAAAATAATGCTTATCTTTCATTAATTCCCTAATACCCTCCCACCATTCACCACACCTGGAAGCTCAAAACCTTTTTCATTTATTATGTGATTTTTCCACAAACACATTACTCTTTGTTAAAATTGTATATAACCCTCTGAGAATGCCTCTTTGAGTTTCCATTTCATTTCTGTGAGCCCATCTATGTGCATATAAAATAAGCTTTTTTCCTCCGGTTAATTTGTCTTTTATTCTTTAATTTTCAAGATCCTGGTTACTGAACCTAAAAGGGTACAGGAAACAGTTTTTGTCCTTCCTGACACAACAAAAGTTCATTTATTTCAATCCATTTAATTACTTACACAGATTTTGTAAAAAAGCATTAGGTTAGCCCTGAGGATATCTTACCATTGAACCAATTTTGCCCCATTGTCTCCTCTTCCCTTTTTTTCCTCCTCTCCCCAAATGTAGGCTTCCTGATCCTCATGGTGCAAGTTTATACACACATAGTACAACTCTATGCACACACGGGCTCATGTATCCTCCCAGCATTCATTCCATTTAACATTTCCACAGATGCTGTCTCTTCCAGGAAGCATTCTGGGACTTAGCATCACATTATTATTTCATATGAATTACAATTATAAATTTTAGGTCAAAGACTTTCTCTAAGTATTAGAGATGAAGATGTTAAAACACTGAGACTAAAATTCCTGACTCTCTAGAAATAACCACCATTGTTAGGATTAATAACGGAAATAATAATAGCCTTTAAAAATGAAACACCAAGACAAAATGCACGGCTAGCAAAACCTGTCACAGAGAATTAATGAGATAATCAAGAGTGCAAATACAAAGCATGAAAACATTTCACTATGTCTCTTCTATTTCCTTCATCACACTAAAGCATTTACTCACAAAGGATGCATGTATTCTCAAGATGTGGCAGAGAGAGCCTGACATGAGCACCAAGTTCTTGTCCTAGAACAGCTCTCTCGCTTTGTCACCTTGGATTACTCATTTTATCCCTATTGACTTCACATGCTTTGTCTGTAAAGATGGGGAAAGAGACACATTGCCTTGAGGATCTCTCAGCCCCATGAAGAGCTGGCATCTTCAATCCCACTGGCAGAGTTTGGGGGATTCCACCAGCCCTCGTCCACATCCTTGCCCTCTCCGCTCCAGGATTGCTCATTAATGACCCCCTTTTCTTCCGGCATCTCCCACCTCCTCACAGTAAATATGCCCCAGTATTAATAATTTTAGTGCTTCACATCATCCCAGCTGCTGCTTCACTATAAATCTGTAAGTAGATATCTTTATCCTGCTCTAAAGATGAAAGCATAAGGGTCCAGTAAGAGTTTCTTCCCCGGGGTCCCCTTGCCACCAAGAAACAGACAGGGCACCAGCATCCAGGACCACTACTTCTAGATCCTCACCATTCAACCACCAACCAATTCCTCATGACTTTTGCTCCACCCTCTTCACACTCCTGAGATGGCTCAATCCACGGGCCTTGGGAAATGCCCAAGCAACAGATGCAGTGGCCTCGTCAGAGTGGGTTCCAGACACACAGACTGGTTTCAGCCCGGAGACACATGATCTTCAGTGCTGCTGGGGAGTGGCATCCCGCATCTTGCAAGTCAGTATCTCATAACCCCAGTTCGATGTCATGCTAAGCCCTGCTTAGGTTTTGTTCCTAGTCCTGAGGAGTGGAGAACTACTCTCCTGGATGATTATGTGAGCATACACAAAGTAAATTCTGTCCAGAAGTTGGGTGAGAGCAAGTTAACAGGAACAAAACTTCCCTGAGAATTGAGCTCTTTCAGGTGAGGGGTGAATACAGAGGAAAATGTGAATTAGGGGTCAGCAGGGCTCCCACCCCAGCCAGGCCTCACAGCTTCGACCCCAGCTCTGTGTGGGCAAGATTTAGGAGAAAAAATTTGTGAAAATCAAAATAAAAGAAAGAGAAAATTTTAAAATTGGGATGCTCCTTGGCTTTCTAGAAAGAGAAACAAATATAATTTCTTTTCCAGAACTCTGACAATGACTCACATGAGAATCCCCAAGCAGAACATTCAGGGCTTCTCATTTTGGTTTCTGCATCCTGGATCTGAGTCAAGACAACCAACAGGTCTTGGGAGAGCAAATGATTGGAAATCATTTACATATCAAAGTTCTGGCCCAAAGACCTGCTGTCTAAATATTCCATGGTACAGCTCCAGATGCTGCCAGTTCTACTGAATGATTTAACGAAGAGCAAGCCATGCAAACGCCTCCCTAATTACTCTACCAGGTGAGCAGGCCAGACGCAGCAGACACCCTCCAGTGCAGACCACAACAATGTCAGGGTTAAGGGACCCCTTGGAACCTTTCTGTTCTGGAAGTGGGGAAGTATTGCTACCATCAGAGTGTTTACTCCAAGAAAGCTTTCAACTTAGAACAAAAACCATGGTCCAGTCAGCAGATCAAAACAGAAGTTAAATTTAAAAATTACATCATAATTCTTCAGCCATCGTGCCTGAAGGAACATACCTCTTAATTTATTTAATCACAGTCTGTGTGATGGGTATAAACTAGTGAGGGAGAAAAGATAATCTAGAGAGGGAGAATCATTCTAAACCGTGCAATTAGTACCTAAGGTGAGCCTATGAAAAGTAATACCAGACTTTTGGAAATTACACTAGGAAACACGATTTTATGTATGTGGGCACATGTGAATATATGTTACATGTGTATGGCTGAGGGCTTTCTGAGACAAGTTTATAGTTTTTAAAGACCACAATGGTCACTTGTGGAGACTGGATTAGGGAGGTGCTCTAAGGAGCAGGCAGGCGGAGAGGGTGCTTTTGACAATTAAGGACATGGAGGTTGACGATGATAGCTACATAGGACCAGGATCTGGTAGTGGAGGTAAAGTGAGACAAATGGATTTGAGAGATATTTAGGATGGAAGTCAAGTGTACTTGAACACAGGATGGATGGATGAGGTCCAGTATGACTCTGAAACTATGACTTGTGCAACAGGCACATGGGGGTGCTATCCATGGAGGCAAGAAACCTTGACAAGGGACCATATCTGGGGAAGACTTTTGTCTTGTCTATTTTGGCTGTTATAACCAAATATTACAAACCAGGTGGCCTCTAAACAATGACAATTTATTTCCCATGGTTCTTGAGGCTAGAAAGTTCAAGACCAAGGCACCAGTGGATTTGATGTCTGGCAAGGGCTCTCTTCCTGGCTCACAGACAGTACCTTCTCACTGTGTCCTGACAAGGTGGAAGGGGCAAGTGCTTTTATAAAGGGATTGATTCCATTCATGAGGTCTCTCCTTCATGACCTAATCACCTCCAAAGGCCCCACTCCCTAATATCATCACCTTGGGGGTTAGGATTTCAACATATGAATTTGTTTTTATTTTTGGGTTTTTTTTTTTTGAGACAGAGTCTCAGTCTGTCACACAGGCTAAAGTGCAATGGTGCCATCTCAGCTCACTGCAACCTCCTCCTCTCAGGATCAAGTGA